ATTTGATTTCCGCTGTATAGACTTGATTTCATTGACGACGGATTTCTGCCTTGCATAGATTCATTGACCATTGATTGACTTGATTTACTTTGACCTGCATATTGATAGCACCGCCGTGCTTTGATTTCAGTTGTAGGCTTTGGTGACCTGCTGGGCTTTGTAAGCTCATTATATGTGGTTTAAATTTTCAGGTCTAAGCAAGGCAACTGGAATGGAGTTCGATCAGAATGTCAGACGAATCCTTTCACTATTTGATTCTGGGGCATCACACCTTCTTCATGGTTGCAAGAAGTCATTCGTAGTACGGCCTTTGACCTATGGAGTAGCCGACTAATGATAAGTTCCACAGAGCAGTTCCTTCTGAAAGATCTTTAGCTTGAAAGGCAAGTTTTTGGCAAGGAGGAACATAAGACATGTTAAAATTATCATGAGCAGTTTTAGGGGACTTAAGGTTATTTGCCCAAGTATGGGCAGGGAAAGTATGAGGAGGCTCCGGAAGTGAGGTGGTGAATAAAGGAGGAAAGTCATTTGGATTTTGGGCCATAGCATGATGGAGTGGAGAGAGGAGATCTTCCTTAGAGGCGAGGGATTATGGCGGAGCAATGAAACCCTAATTAATTTTGATATTTAATTAACTTGATTTAGATGATATTAATGTTCATAAATGATTTTATCAGTTAATAATAAATTACTGTTTATAAATGAAGTAAAAAGTGTAATAAATAAAGTTCAATTATGTCAAAATTTATACCAACGCAGGTGGGGTGGCATAGGCCCTCAGCCGAATGGGATTGGTAAGTCAGCGCTCTTAGATATTAATTAAGGGAAAGAAGTAGACTTTTGAGAATTTGACTTTTAATCGGACACAATGGCGAAAAAAGATTCATGTAGCTGACCCCACGTAGCGGGACAAAGGCTTGATGTTGTTGTTATTGTTGTTGTTGTTGTTGTTGAAAGAAGTAGTTTTTTAAGGCCGATTTGAATTGAAATCCAGTTACCATTGTATGCCATTTAATATTTTCAGGTAGTGTAAATTAAAGGAGATTAAGATTTAAGTTAATATATTTGCAATTAAATTAATTTTTAACAAAATAAATTAGGTTTATATAAGGCAGTTAATTACTTATAGTTCTTGGTTATTATAACTTTTGATAATTTTTTTAGAGCTTAGAGTTCAAATTTCAATTTGCCTGAATAATTTTATCCTTATGTGAAAACTTTTACATTATTAATCACTTTAAATTGTATTAGATTCTTCATACTTTTTGTTATAAAGAGAATTACTTACTATTGATGTTGATTTTTGAAGTTAGAGTTGATGTTGACGGCGTACATTAATCTTATAGATGAGTGCGTGCATCAATTTTGTGATGATGATGGGTGACAAAGTCAGTATGCGTCGATATAGTTAGAAAATAATGATTAGAGTATCAGATGGGGTTGGAGGATTGTAGTTGAGCGATAGCTATCAGAGGATTATAGCTAGACGACAATGAGTGGAATATTATAGTAGGGGGATGACAGTCACATAAATATAGTCAAGTGACTGTGCTCAAAGGATTATAATTAAGCTATAGTGGTGGAGAGTCATAGAAAAGCGATGATGATCAAAATATAATAGATGATGGTCGTCGAAGGACTTTAGTAGGGAAATGGTGTGGTCTAATGATCATAATCAGGTAATGATGATAAAATTGGACAATTGTGGTTGGATGATTGTAGTAGGAGGATAGTAGTTTGGCGACGGTGCGGAGATGGTTTTTGGACGACCATGTTTAAAGGATATCAGCCGGACGATCTTGCTCAAAAGATTGTAGTTAGGTGTTAGATGATCATAGTCGGTGTATAAGAAGAAATTTTCTTTTAAACATAAAAAAATTGTGAGCTTAAGAGAATTTCCTTAAAATCATCATCATTTAATGTTTTTTCTCATAAATATTTACCAAATAGCAATGGAGCATTCAATGTTTTAAAAAAGACAGCATCCATCAATGAGAACGACGTTAATTTGAAATTTGAGTGAAAATTGACCTGTATTTAACATTTTAACTCTTTAAACAGAAATTAGATTTTGTAGTTCAAAATAAAACCCTAAAAAAAAGTTTACAAAAAAAAAAAAAGGAAAATCTAAAAATAAAAAATGAACTTCAACATGCGACTGCGACAATATTATTAACAAAACAAATTAATAGAAAAAAAAATTATTTTAATAGATAGATTAGGAAATCATTTAAATGTTGAGAGTATTTTTTGAAGAACATTGAGAAAAGGAGGAAGAAGAATAGAAACAGTAAATCCTTTCTGAAATCTTATTCAATGTATGTCTTACATACTACCGGTCTTAGGTATATATAGAATATGAATACACATGTAACAAAGTAATTTGTCCTAGATACATTTAACGTATTTACATATATATCCTTAACATTCCCCCTCAAACTGACGAGTGGGAAGTAATAGTCAGTTTGGATCGCAAGTCTTTGAACCGTGGAGTGGTGAGGGGTTTGGTTAAGATGTCAGCAATTTGATCGGTTGTGCTGATAGGAAGCAACCGTATGACATTGTTCTGAATGTGCTCTCGGACAAATCGCTGATCAATTTCTATGTGCTTCGTACGCCCATGAAAGATGGGATTATTAGCTAGTGCAATGGTCGATGTATTATCACAATACACATCAACCGGCTGAAAATGTAAAATGCAAAAATCTGCTAATAAACGCTTGATCCATATAGTATATGCTGTGGCCGATGCAAGAGCGCGATACTCGGACTCTGTCGAGGATCTGGATACAGTTGGCTGTTTCTTGACTGTCCAAGAGATGAGAGTGTCGCCGAGAAATGTACAAAATCCAGAAGTGGATTTGCGAGTGAGAGGATCAGATGCCCAATCGACATCTGAGTATGTCCGCAGCTGTAAGCTAGATCGAGTGATCGGAAGCCCATACTCGATAGTCCCTTTGATATAACGAAGTAGTTTCTTTAGTAGCAGTGTGTGATGAATCGCCGGATCGTGCATGTGTTGGGACAAGGCGTTGACGGCAAATGCAATGTCGGGGCGAGTTAGAGTTAGATATTGTAGCGATCCAATAATTTGGCGATATAGAATAGCATCGAAACACGGTGAGTCGCCATCATGTGTGACTGAAGTTTTAGAAGAAGATGGGTTAGCGACCGAATTGCAGTTATGCAACTCGGCCTGACCAAGAATTGAAACCGCATATTGAGATTGAGAAAGGAAAAACTTATCTTGTGTGTGGTCGATGGTAATACCCAGAAATTGGTTCGCAAGTCCGAGGTCCTTCATTGTAAATGTGGATTTCATTTGATCAATTAAGTTGCTTATTTTGGATTCGTCATTCCCAGTAATGAGAATGTCATCTACGTAGACTAGTAAGTAGATTTGGAAATCATCTCGGTGTAGTAGCAACAGTGAAGGATCTGCATGGCTATGCACGAATCCAATTTTTAGCAGAAATTTTGTGAATGTGGTGTACCACAGCCGGGGAGCTTGACGCAAGCCATAGATAGCCTTTCGAAGACGACATACATGATTCGGATGGGTCGAGTCTTCAAATCCTTTGGGCTGTTTCATGTAAACAAGCTCGTTGATCTCTCCATGCAAAAAGGCATTTGCTACATCTAATTGGCGAATTCTCCATTGATGGAATAACGCTACCGTGAACATTATTCTGATCGTAGGTAGCTTTGCTACCGGGCTGAAAGTGTCCTTGTAATCGATACCGAAAGCTTGTTGATTTCCCTAAGCAACTAAACGAGCTTTGTGTCGTGCGACGGAACCATCCGAATTGTATTTAGTTATATACGTCCATTTGGAGCCGATGATGGAGGCGTTGGGAGGGGGTGAGATAAGCTCCCACGTGCCCTGTTTTTGAAGTGCAAAAAATTCCTCTGCCATTGCCTTGCGCCACTCAACATGTTTGTTGGCTTCCGTAAAAGTGGTAGGATCGTTTTGATGGTGCCCGTGATGCAAAAGATTAAGCCGTTGAACAGGCTTAAGGGATCTTGTTTTGGCCCTGGTAATCATATGATGTCGAGGTGAGGAAACAGACGTCGTTTGTGTTTCAATTTGATGATCATAAGTAGTATCCCGACGAATGTCATGACGCCTGATATCCGTTGTCGTGCAGTCAGCGGATGGTTGGAAAGAAGTGTTGAGCTTCTTCTTGTTACCATTTGAATTCAGTATAGAAGACGGAATGAGAAGAGGGTGAGGAACAACCGTTGAGACGGGAGGTTCTTGAACTGACCTGTTAATAAATGGAAAGAATGTTTAGTTAAACCTAACATGCCGAGATGTAATGATTTTGTTTGTTATTGGATTTAGACATCTATAGCCTTTCATAGTGTCAGAATATCCAATAAAGATGCAGGAAGAAGATGTCGGTGATAATTTGGTTTGTTGGGTGGGTGGTAAAAGTGGAAAACATTCACATCCAAAGATTCTTAGATGTGCATATGAGGGTTGTATATTAAACATTTGTTGCAAAGGCGAGAGATAATTTGTGGTGACAGACGGTGCCCTGTTGATTAGGTAAGTGGCAGTAGAAGCTGCCTCCAACCAATAGGACATTGGTAGACCTGCATTTTGTAACAAGGTTCTTGTGGTCGTGATAATGTGGCGATGTTTTCTTTCGGCGATCCCATTTTGCTCTGGCGTGTAAGGGCATGATGTTTGATGATGAATGCCAGTAGTCTTAGTAACAGCTCGGAAGTGGTGATTTACGAACTCACCACCACCGTACGTGCGAATGACTTTAAGTTTGCGGTTGGTTTGCCATTCTATAAACTTAACAAAATTACTGAAAATGTTAGGAACATCGGATTTAAACATAAGTGGAAATAACCAAACAAAGCGCGAGAAATCATCAACAAAGATTATATAGTAACGAAAACCTTGGTGTGAGGGAACCGGAGAGGGTCCCCACACATCCGAGTGAACAAGTTCTAGAGGAGCTTTAGTACTACTATTAGAGCGTTCAAAAGACAATTTGTGTCCTTTACAAGACATACAAGATTTACAAGAAGAACTATTAAGTGATATGTGTAAAGTAGGATTTCTTTTCGAGATCCACTGAAGAACGCGGTTGTGCGGGTGTCCAAGCCGACAATGCCAATTTGTTTCTGAAGAGCGACTAGCTGACAATGCCGTGGATGCTGAAGTTGTCTTTTGCTGTCTTGCCGGAATCTTATACAGACCATTGTTACATGGTCCGGTGATGACCTGATTGGTCGTCTGATCCTTAAAAACAAAACCAGTGTCATCAAACGTAATAGAAATCAAATTATCTTTAACGAGATTTGATATGAAAAGCAAATTATAAGACAAAGATGGAATATGCAACAAACGAGATAGAACAAGCTTACTGGCCGGGGTTGGAAGGATCCCAGAACCCGTATGAGCAATCGGGATGGATCTTCCGTCCCCTATGGTGACCGTGTCATTGCCGTTGTAGATATTGTATGGAGCTAGATTCTCGAGATTGTTGGTCATATGAGACGATGCGCCGGAATCTATGTACCAATCAACACCGGTATGACCTTCCGATTTGGCCACCAGAGCATTGGTGTTCTTCGAAGAACCTTGAGACGGAACATAGTTGGCATTGAGTCTGTGCCAACACGCATCTGCCTCGTGACCTTTCTTCTTACAGATTTGGCATATCACCGTGGGTTGAGTAGAGGATTTATTGGAAGCATTTGTGTCATGATTTTTCCTGATCCGACCTCGACGGCCGCGACCGCGAAACGTATATAGAGCCGATTGAGTGTCTGGATCTTTGGAAAATTTGATGGCCGACGATTTCAAATGAATCTCTTCACTGATGAGAAGAGCATATAGGTTGTCCAGAGTCATCGTGCCTTGCATTGTGCGAATCGTGGTCGTGAAGGATTGATAGGCCGGCGGAAGTCCGTTTAGGATGTAAATTATAATGTCTTCCGAATCGATCGAGGATCCTGCAGAAGCGATCTGATCCACTATTTTCTTGACTTCGGTGAGGTAGTCAGTCATAGACATGGATTGCATAGAAATATTGTGGAGCTCATTCTTGAGCTGTATAACCTTGGAGCGGTTGGAAGATTGGAACCGGGTGTGAAGAGTCGACCAGATCTCGTGAGTTGATTCAAGATGAATCACATAGGGTAGAACGGCCGGTGATATAGTGGAACACATAGCCGTTGCAAGATTCTGATCGATGACAGTCCATTGATGCGTATCTTGATTTGGATCCAAGTTTTCAGTGGCCGATCGGGCTTCAAGAAAGGCAGCGAATCCATTCGCTTTGAAGAGTTTCGCGATTTGCGAACTCCAGATGGGGAAGTTATCCGCCGTAAGAGAGTGCGGTACAAGAAATTTAAGATTCGAAATTACAAACTTCAGATATTGAGATATGACCGGAGCGGACGGCTGTACGCCGGAGGTGGCCGCAACCGAGGAAGAAGCGGAAGCTGATGTCGCCATGGCGAGAGCTCAAAATCTTGCTTCTCTTGATACCATGAAGAACATTGAGAAAAGGAGGAAGAAGAATAGAAACAGTAAATCCTTTCTGAAATCTTATTCAATGTGTCTTACATACTACCGGTCTTAGGTATATATATATAGAATATGAATACACATGTAACAAAGTAATTTGTCCTAGATACATTTAACGTATTTACATATATATCCTTAACATTTTTTTGGTGCGGACATTTTTTTAGTTCAGTGCCATATAAGTTGTAAAAACTGTATAAATTAATTGATATGATGTGAACTTATTGGCGCTGCCTAAATTGGTCTATAAAAATAAATGTTTTAAAACTGAGTGAACTCATTTGCTAAAAACAAAAAATAATTTTGACGACTCTTCTGAGCTCTTCGTTGAAAATGAAAGTGTGTTGTAAATCCATAGCTTATCTTGATCTGTTGGTTAGGAGCTTAGACTATCAACTAAGAGGTCTTAAGTTCGAGTTTTGTGTATGTGATGTGTGTATGAATCTACTTTAATTGGTTTAAATAATCCCCCCACCCCCCTCCAAAAAAAAAAAGTATGTTGTAAATTATTTATTGGCAGGATTTGGACATTAACTTTTTTTTAAAGCGGTTTTATAGTACAATTTTTTTTAATTTTTTTTTAAATGCTGTTTTAAAAAGTAGTAATAATGTTGTTTCAAATGAAGCCTTAGTTTTAATGAATACATTCTAATTAATGCAATAAAAGAATTAGTATTATTGGATATAAATAGATAAATAAAAAGAGTAGGGAAGACATTAGAGTTTTTATGTGAAAATATTGGTAAGATGAAAAATTAGGAGAGTCTGAACCAACTAAAATAATTCTACCATGTAAGAGTAAGAGATTCGGAGAAGAAGAGATTACAAGAGTAAGAGATGCTTGCAAAAATTATTTCAAAGTTAGTATGAGCTGAAAGATGTTTGGACGGGAGTGGCCGAGTGACAACAGTTTGACAATATTGATCATGCAGTGGTAGACCAATAATAATGACTTGGTGGCGAGGGTTAGATGGTGATGGTTTGTGACTATGGTGGTCAAGCGATAGTGTTATGATGATTTTGGTTGGATGATGACACTCCAATAATGATGGTTGGATGACAATGATTCGACAAAGTAGAATTGTGATGACGGTATAATGATGACATTTGGGTGATGAATCAACAATGACGATCATATGGTGGTTCAATGATAGATGTCAGATAATGACTTGATGGTGACGATTGTGTGGTGGACCCATGACAGCAGTCGGTCGGTGGTTCACAGTGCATGTTGTGTAATGTTCCAACAGTTGTGTTTCATTATTGTGCTCCAGTTGAACTGTAGGATTCTTCATACCTTTGAACTCTCTTGAATTTCAAGCCAAATGTTCTCTTCATGTAGCAAGTGAGGCTCTATATATAGATTTTTGTGAACGACATGTTACGTACATATGAAGAAAATTTAGAGCACTCCCAGTGGTTTACATAGATTCCCTTAATCATAGATAATTCTTTTAATATTTAAATGCCTTAATCATTTTAAGATGTCATGTATAGTAGTAGTCTTTGCCTTTGATGTCAATGAAAGGAAGAAGATCAACCTCAAAGTCTGACAATAAGTAGAAACATGGAGGAAGGTGACACATTTAGTCATCAATGAAGTGGTGCAAAAGTAGTTGGTGAAAAGTTATTCTTCAAGAAATTTGAGAAATCGGCCATATATTATTATTTTTGGAAATTCCAAAAAATCACAATTTTTTCTTCTCCTTAATTATATCATATTGATTTGAGATTTTTAATTAATGATCATGGTCTCTGCCTTTGATGAAATTTTGACATTGGATAAAATTTGAAATTTTTTATAGTTGCAGTTAATATATAGTACTACTTTCTCGAAATTTTCTTGCCAAAATTTCACTTTTGGACAAGGAATTAGATTTACGAGTGACTATTATGGGTGTAAGTGCCGAGTTAGCTCGTGAGCTGGCTTGAGGTCGACTAGTTAAAAAGCTCGCGAGCCGAGCTTATGAAGCCACGAGGTTGAGCTCGAGCCCAAACTCGAGCTCATTTATTTAACAAGCTTGCTCGGCTCATGAGCTCGCAAGCCGGCATGTCATTATTGATTATTTAATAAAATAATTATATATTTAAGACGGACGGACAAACTCTAGGTGGGAATTCCGAACTCTAGG